ATTTATTTAAAGAAACTAAATTAACTATGAAGTCAGTTAATCAGTAATGTGTGTAATGTGTGGGTGTGTGAACATGCATCAGTATATAAAGAAAGAACAAACAAACAAACAAACAAACAAACAAACAAACAAACAAACAAACCAAGGTCCAGTAGAGCCAAGCAACCCAAGAGGAGAGAGAGACTGACTCTCTGCTCAGGCACCCATACTTGTAGCTGAGCAGTCAACCCAAATCAGGTGTCAGCAATCTCTCCTGATTTGGGGAGTGGCTAACCAGGGACCTGAGTCTAAGGCCTAGGGGCCGTCACAACAGATAACAAAAATATAACATAATATTGATTTTTCTTGTACTATGTGAAAACTGCTCCCACATCTGCTGGGCTGAAATATGTTTTTGCTGTCGGCACTCTGCAGGCGTTTCATCTCGTGCTAAGCAGCCACAGACAGGTCTGTCAGCGCCTCCAGCCATGACACATTGATCCCTGGAGGTTAGTGGAAATTCAGAGCTGGGATTTTAGAACAAAACCTCTCAGGAAGCTGGAAGTGCTACATTCTACACTGTATAGGTCAAAACGATCACTTACATGTATATAACCAAGAAATGTGGCCTCTTCGTGCATGTGCCACTGACAGATTAGGAACACGCTACAAATATAAGTACTTTTCTTTGTTGTAGTTAAATATTTTCTGTTATCTGAGTGGACCAAAAGACATGTGAAGGCTTTAATGGAGTGTTGTTTTGCCCACATTGTGGTACTTTGTCCTTCTTTATTAATGTGTGAGTGGCAAATTGTTCCTGGAATCCTGTCTTTGTGCTATCACTTCCTAAATAGAGATTCAAATAGGACTAGGGTAGATGCAGATGATGATCTATAAGGCAATAAGCTTTTCAATTACCTTTTCAGACCATTTATCACTATGTATGAGACCAACTATTAACCAATAATAAAACAATCAAAGTGCCACCTTGCCTGTGTAGAGCCTTTGCGGTTCCTCTGAACCTGTGACAGTAAAACCCAGATACATGCCTGGTAGCCTGTTTTAATCTTGTGGGAATTGCAATAAATCCTCTTCATTGAAAGGGTAGTTTGACTCGGGCTAGCCGACTGGACTGTACAGAAGAGTCACCCGCTCCCTTTGAGCTGGTTGTACGGTGGCTGACAGGTGCAAACGCGTCAGTGTCACTGGAAACATACTTAAAATGTCAGTTTAATTGGCCTATTTGAACAATATGATCACATGATTCTTTCCGATATTGTAGCAGAACATCTTAGCCAGCTAACGTAGCTAACCTATAGGCATTTAAAAAGAAACGACAAAACACTTACAATTATGAAACAGGCTAACACCAACAGTTACAGTTGGCCAACTTTAAAATCCAGAATGTCAACAACTGCTCCGGTCTCAGCTGTGAGCATCGTTTTTTAGTGTCCTCTCTCCATTGTGTTTGAGCGTTTCGTTTATTCAGTGCTTTTAGTAAACCTTGCGCATTTTTCTAATGGTTTAATAAGTTGGTGAAGATTTTGTTGGAAAATATTTTTCTTCATTGCATGTGTTTTGGCACATTAGATTTTTTAGTTTTGCATCTTTTTGAAAGTGCAGCATGTTTTGTCCTAATTGGACATGTGTTGGGCCATTGTAGCACGTTTGCTTGACAGGAAAGGTTGCATTCACCCAGGGAAGAGTAGGAACGTCTTTACATCTAACGCTCTTGGCCAGAGCTAGTGTACCAGTGGTCGTGTACTACAGTTTGGGAATCACTGTTATAGACCAAGCAGTGACCTGTTCCTTTCACTATATAAATTAAATGTTCCCAGCTCCTCGGTTGTCCCTCTCTGTCTCCTCCCTCATAATCTTTCGCTCTCCATGTCTCTCCTAATCTCACTATATCTAGATCTCTTTCCGTGCACAAGTTTTATAAGAACTAGTTTGCCTTGCACCTTATATAATGGGGAAATTCCTTTGTGCTTATGTTCCTGATTATACCGCAGAGTACACTGATGTTATAGAACTCAAGAAAGTGTCTTGTGTGGATTAAGCACAGCTTCACATTATAGCCATTCAGGTCAAGGATGTTTATCACACAATGTGTTGCTAATAGAATCATTTTGTCCATTTAGAAATCAGATTTTATATTGACATAATGCAATCTGACCTCTCAGTCACTCCCTCCACATCAGTTCACTCCTACTACATTCCGGGTTTGACCTTTAAAGATCCACATAAAGCCCACAATAAGTGCAAAACCGTCCACCCCTTGATGCTGAAGCATATCACTGGCTGGTTGAAGTGGGCCTGGAGTGGGTGAAAACAAGGACAAATCCTCACAGTTACCTAGGATTTTGTATCTTAATCCCATAAATGCTGTAGTATAACATAGAGATAACAACCATGACAAATAAAAGCCTTGCTGAAGTTCTCCAAGTTCACTGACTGGCTGTTGACCAGGACAAACAATGGAGGATTTCTTTTATTTCACATGTCCCAGGAATACTTGCAAAAGAAAAACAGAGTGAGGAGAGAATTTCCAGAAACACAACCGCTGGTCATATGTTTCTCATGGTGGTGCATTCATAGCAGCGAGGGAGGCAAATGCCTCTGGTTAAGCACAGCTATTTATTCTTTCCCTGGAAACGGCTGAAGAACAACAAAAGCCTTCTCTACAAAGAGCAGCACGACCTGATGCAGCTGCCTGTTTTCCTCTGTCTGCGGTGTTATCCTCCCTCAACATGGGTGCACCACTGGCACACCAATTGTGCTCAGAAAGCCACACAATAGGCACACTCAGCTCAGAGAGAACTTTTCAACTCAAAGGCTGCGTAAGGAACCCATCCAAACCAAGACACTGCTAAGTTAATCCTAAAAAGGTTCAATTTTAATGTGGGTAAGCACATGGTAAGAAACAAAACACAGCCAGTTCTGCTGTTTTGATTTTCAGGACGCGGTGCACACCAATGCCCGCTCACATGTACTTATATTGTAGTTTATACACTCGGCATAGTAACCACAATGAACTCTGTCCGCTGACTCGTTGCTAGCTTGGGAGGGAGTCCAGGTTTTCAGACTGACAGGGAACAGATTCTGCTTCATTTTCAACCCACAGCGCTCTGCTCGTTTACTACAGTACTGGGTTAGGAAGTTATTTTGAGGACACACATACACACACACACACACACACACACACACACACACACACACACACACACACACACACACACACACACACACACACACACACACAAACAAACAAACAAACAAACAAACAAACAAACAAACAAACAAACAAACACTACAAACTAAACAAACTCAACAGATAAGATGATTTTTTTCCCCTTTATTGATTTCCTGCCTGACTGCTTTCAACATTTGTTTGTGTTGTTGATGCAAGTATGTTGCATTTCGTATTGAGCAACCTTATTTCTTATTTCAGCATGAAACTGAACAATTCTTTAAATAAACACATCAATAACAATACATAACAGTTAACTCTGCTATTCTCATGAAAAGTTTAGGACTCAAAACAAAAAGACAGGGGCTGAACAATTCCACGTATGAACCCTTTGACCTCTACTTCTACTAAACACACCTGAATATGCTCGGTAACTACCTTTGCAAGTCTTTCTTTATTTAAGTAATGGACAAATGGATATTTTAACACAATGAATGCGCTGGATGAATCTTTAGGTGATAACCAAAGTTAATACAATTCATTCTGAGGTGAACACAAATGTGTGTCCTTTTGCATAAACCCAATAATGTTAGGGACGAGCGGATGGTTTTGCTCTTCTTTTATTTTTTACAATGTTTTTCTAGCTTCTACTTATATTTCTTGCAGCAGCTACTGTCTTTTAAAGTTGAATTCATTTAATTACATTTGTTTACTTTGTATTGGGGCCACTTGATCTGTCTGTGTTAGTAGCTCTGTGGGTGGTACGAGAGATTTTGAGACGAGAGAAGAAAACATGTTCTTCTCAGTGGAATTTGTTGCCTCCAGGAATCTTCGAGGTTTTCCTGGAGCCGGAAACAGTTAATTAGTCAAGAAGTCAGCTGTCAAATCCTTTTTACGTGATTTTCACTTGTTTTTTCCTTTCTCCTTGTAATTTATTCCTGCCCTTTTGTGCTACATAACTCTCTTCTACAGAGGTATGGAGATGTGTGCATGTGTGCATGTTTGTGTGCCTGCGTCTGTCAGATTTTCATATTGTGTTAAGCTTCCTGATGTAATCGGCCAAATCGGAATGTGAAAAAAAAGCTGAGAAACAATAGCTGGGGGTCAGACAGGTCGTGGAAAACTGTTTGAAGAACAATGTTATCTGGAGACCTGGTAATGAAATCTCAGTGGTGTAAAAAGGTACAAGCCCTCTTTAGCTTCCGCTCTCCCAGCCTCACCTGGTCCGTCTATTAGCCGAATGGACCTGCCTGTCAGTCACGTCTGCATGAACAACATTACCTTCTGTTCCTGTCAGCAACGATCATTCCTAATGTGGCAGCCTGTGGCAGTCTGTCCTGACAACATGTCTGCCTTTATTTCTTCTGGGTTGCAGATGAATGTCAAGATTAATCAAATATCAGAGAGGACAGATGGGCTCGGACCTTTGAACACTGAAAGTCAAACAAACAGCACACCATCGAGAACGCCAGGCAGCTACTGTGGGTTGTTTAATATTGCTCAGAATAGCTAACTCCAGTGGGATTCTGGTGAGATTATGAACATCCTGGTCCAAAATTACACAGGGGTTGTATAATCCCGCAGCCATAACACCTGCTCTGCCAGATTTAGAAGCCCCGTGGCCATTTTATACACCAAGAATCCAGAGTAAAATGGTTTTTTTTTTGCGTAAACTAGGGGGATATAAATAACACCAGAGTGATTTTGGTGAGATTATGACCATCCTGACCAAAATTACAGGGGGGGTGCCAAATCCAGCAGAAATAAGACCATCTCTGCCAGATTAAGAAGCACTCTTTACATTTCTCACCTGATAGGCCCATAGTAACATACTTGATGTTGCTTAAAGTAGAGGGGAATAACTATCACAAGTGTTATTTTGGGGAGATTATGACCATCCTGGCCAAAGTTAAAGAGAGGGTGCCAAATCCGGCAGCCATAACACCCACTCTGCCAGATTTAGAAGCCCTTTTGCCATTTTAAATACCATGAATCCAGATTAAAAATGCTTTTGTTTGCATAAACTAGAGGGGAATCATTTAAACCACTGTGATTTTGATGAGATTATGACCATACTGGCCAAAGTAACAGAAGGGTTGCCAAATCCAGCAGCCATAACACTAGCTCTGCCAGGTTTTGAATTCCCCCTCTTTGGTAAAAATGAAAATATATCACTGAAACAACTTCATTAATGGTCATGTGAGTCTGTGTGTGTGTTTGTGTATGTGAGATGTGAGCCACTAATAATAACATTTTGTCACTTGTTTTTTTGGAAAACAGAGAGGAGAAGTGAACATCAATATTATTCCACGTCTGCAGAGCTAGGTGACCTTAAAAAAGAGAAACATCGTTCTCATGAGAAATCTTTGTGTCATTACAGCAAGAATACAGAGAAAGGTATGCAAAACATACTGTAGGGGTTGTTCTTTTAATTTTATTTGGATTTTAATACATCACAGGGATATTTCTGGATCACTGTTTGTACTGGTGTAGCTGTTTCTAACTGTAACACAGCAGCACCATGTTTCCCAGTGCCTGGATGAAGAATCAGGAACACATCCTACAGCACAACAGCTGCAAAAGCATCTCTGTGATCCCAAAGACAAAACTGCTCTAACCTTACAAGAAGCACAACATTCCTAGAGACAGTTTTCTGCCAAACTAAAGTGCACTTAACATTTGCCTGGATTAAGGAGCAAAATAATAAGCTAAATTTCATCTGGGCTCATACTCTGAAAGTGAGTAAAGGTCTCTGGAAGTGTAAACATGATGGGATATCTGGGGGTCTTACGCAAGCTTAATCTCCCTCTTGGTTGTACATGACACACTGGGAAACATTTGATTAAATGAGCTGGTGTGAAAAAAAATGTTAGATAAATAAAGTGGTCTGTTATTACTCTGGGCTGCTGTGGCTAATAGCAGTGACCCCCCTCAAAATAGTACGCTGATAGAGAACATGATGTTCCTCATGGCCAAGTAGCTGCTGGTTTCAGAGATGATTGATTTCACTAACTTTAACCTTTACTCCAACTCACAAGCTACACAGAAGAAAACAAAGTCATTAATATTACCAGCGCCTTGGGCAGCTTGATTATTATTATAAACCAATAATATAATATGAAATGGGCCATTCCACCTCATAAATATGATTATTTTTGGTGTCTTTAGCATATTCTGATGCTACTGCCACTTTAAATCTATTACTTGGAGCATCCCAAGACTCTTCTTCCTCCATTACTAAATAATGAAAATGTATTATAAAGTTACATATTTTATCAGGAGTGAGACAAACAGAGTCAAACAAACTCTTTGAATTGGATATTTCTGTTTGTACTTATTATAAGTAACATAATTGCATATAACTGGACGTCTACACTGAGTGAATCTGTTCATTACAATATGATAAAAAAAGGCCCTTTATGCACAAAATACTTACTTTATGCTACTTACACTGCCCTTCTGGATCTTTCCCTTTCTGTTCCAGCACAAAGTTCAGCGGGTAATTAAGATATATTTATCTGACACAGACAACTGTAAGTGCTTTTATTACAAGTCCTAACATGCAGCGGGCAAAACACAACATACTCATTTCTCATGGGCCACTGCAACTACACAACCTATTCAATAGCACCACCAAGAGGAGTGGGGACACATTGAAATCCTACGGTCCGTGAAGCCAGCATGCAGATAACAGGCAGTTGTTTTAGTTTCATCTGCAGCTACAGTATTTTGCTGGACTTGAGCACAATATTAAAGTACCTGTTACTTCTTTGACATTTTATAGGGAAATATTGTCCTTTTTAATCCACTACTTTTATTTTAGACCTGTTTTTAATATTCATGTTTTACATACAATCATAGTCTATACATTTTGATACTGGGTTACAGTATGTGCACAACTGCTTACAGAATGTCAGTCCTTAAGTAAAAGTCACATGTTCTAAAAGAAAAGATTTGCTAGTGCTGTATCTAAGATTTCTTTCAAATCCTAAAACCAAGTTGAATTACTAATAATGATTTTAGTTATTAGTGTAATACTCATTTCAAACTACAAACAATTAGAACATTTTGAAGTGAGGGTTGATTTAAATGTTAAACAAAACAAAAGTTTCAGAACTATTTTAGAAATAACAAATCATTGAAATCAATTTTATGCCCAATTAGTACTTTCACTTAAAGTACGTCAAATGTTTAGTGCATTACTAATTTTACTTAAGTAAAGGCTTTGAATGTATCTTCCACCTCTGCTGCTGTTTAAGTAAAGGAAGAGAACCAATAAAAACAAACTTGATCCAGCTCTTTCCGCTTTATTGACACAGAGATGCACAATTATTGCGGTGCTAAATATTTTCTGAGGAACGGTCTCAGTGAATCCGCTGCTTCTTACTCCCTTTTGAGTGTGACAATGATTATTTAAACTTTAATATACAAATGAAATCAGATGCGAGGAACCAAAATGAGCAGGACCAACACACATTCACCTATAGATTCCCCTTTATTATGCTTGTGTAGATCAATGGAGAACAGCTCACTGAACACAAAGGGCATTTATGGAAATGTTAGCTGAAAACGCAGGATTACAGTCTCTTTCAAAGCACTGACTGACATCCTGAAGCAAGTCAAAATGTTTCCCTTTAAAGCTCTGTGTGAGGTCAGCCTGATAGAGGCGTCTTCTGTGCAAAGTGTGTGTGTGTGTTTTAGAAATTAAACCGGTGAGATGCTCTGTGCAGAACAATGCCTTAACACAACATGTGGAGATGAGAGACAAATAAACACTTCTGTCACTTTACTCTGAATAAACATCAGTCAAGACATTTGCAAAACACACCGAACATATGGGAAGATGCAGGTTTTATACATTTCTTATTTGCATAAATAATATTAAACTAAATACAGGTACAACAAAAATGACTTCACTATAGGACAAGACACACAACAGATGCAATTATTCTGAGGAATGGATGTAATGAATAGTACACTTCTGAGTAGATGTTCCCGATTCTAAGAAGTGATCAGTAGCTTAAAACAAACAGTCTGAAAGAGCTTTTGGAGTGTCACTCATGGAAACTGCATCACACACACAAAGAGACAATCACTATTCAACACCACACAGATTCTCAAGAGATGAGTGACATCAATAGAAGATCTCAGTCCTCAGCATTCCCTTCCAGGATGCTTTCGAAGGTGAAGGGCAGGAACTTGAAGCCCTGGCCGGAGTAAAACTTGTTTTGGAACTCCACCCTGTAGAATAAACAAAGCGTCCATCAAAAACAGGAACAATAACCGGGAAGCCTTTCACACAGGCAGACAGGTGTGTAGATGGTGTGTGTCCCCCCCCCACCCCTCCTTCTTCACTCCACACTGAGCTCCCACCTGAACACATTCATGTCTACATATACTTATGGGCCTCGTGCCGGGCCCTGACACATGAGCCTCTTCCCTTCTGGAAAATGATCAGGTTCTATTTTTGAAGCGGCCGACGCCAAGTAATGGCCGCATGACCTTTTAACTGAGGAGCCATCAATACCTGCCATTCCATAGTCGGTGGGGAAGGGAGAGTCCAAAAGCTGCTACGAGTAGACTCGATCGGAAGAAAATAATCTGCCTCTTAAAATGTAAAAACGTCCTGCTTTTTATCATACTAAACTGAATATCTATAGGTTTTAAGTGAAAAAATGTCATATTTCCTTGGACTTCAATAGAACTTTTAAAAATGCAGCTGTAATATAAACTGCCAGGACTTTATCATGCAAGCAAATAATCAACATGTGTGCTATTTGCCCACCAAAGTAGAAATTGTATTCCAAAAGGCTACCTTAGACTTGAAGGCATCTACAAAGTAGTGTCCGACTACATTTTTCTCCACCTCTTCTTTGGCTTCTCTGCATTCCAAACTGCCCTGTATTGTCTCTAAAGGCCATTCAGTGACAGCTGAGTCACCCAGTCATACTGTTTAAAGATAATTATAGAGAAGAGGGTCTGCAACACACACATGCTCTGTAAATGTGCCAGCGGATAATAAAAAACCAGGATGACATTCAGCAAAGCCTGACAAAGACATTAATGAGGGTACAACAAAGTCTCCTAGGAGCCATAGTGAGGACTTACAGACGGCTCTGCCCGCCTCACACACAGCAGAAAATGGAAAGCATAACAGTGACTGGAGCCAGACATGTTCCAGGCCACAGGCCAGGGGAGAGAGAGGGCGGGGAGAAACTGAAATGTTCTACTTGCACACCTGACCTGTTACATTATGGTTACATTTCTTATTTTTAAATGTTGTTGTGAATGTTCACCTATGTCAGGGTAACCCGTTGTATGGATACTCTGAATCTACTGTTAGTGATGCTGGAAGTCAGTTTGATAGGTCTCATAATAAAAGTCAATATAAACTCTGACAACATTTTTACAATCAGGACCTTTTTAACTTTTATTGCTAACTGTGACCCTCATTTTGCCGTTGTAATGCAGAGAAGAGGAAGCTGGTCCTGGATCCTAATATGCTTAACCGTCAGTTATTGTGTTTTATCACTTACTTACCAAATAAGCAAAGCAGTGGCCTTGCATCTTGTTTGTCTCCACCTGCAGATAGCACTATTGGTCTGCAGGGCCTTACAGTTATTTAAAAAAGTTTGTCCCAGTGCAAAGGGACTGGATTAATGCTCATTGGATTTCAAACTCTGGTTAGGAAAAGATGCTAAAAGTTGTACACTAGACTGTCAGAACAGAGTGTTTTTCTGGCAAATAAATACAAATAAATTAACAGAAACAAACACAAGAACCTACCAGTGCAGTCGCAGTGCGTGCAAGAAGGCGGACAAGCCCTCCATGATGAGAAGAATGGCAACTGTGAGAACAGCAAAGAAGAAAAAGACGGCGGCCAGGATGAAGCCCCCTCCGATGCTTCTGCTGGAGAGGCCGATGTGCATCACCATGGTCCACAGCACCTCGGCCAGCTCTGTGCACAGGACGGAGAGAGCACACAGACTTCAGTACTGTGACGAAGGTGCAAGCATTTGACAAACACCTCTGTTAGTCAGTGTGTGTGTATAGTATCGTATTAAAATGGAGGAAGAGTGAGACTTACGTGCATGAGCCAGACTGAGGGCCCAGAGCCTCAGATAGGAGGCGGTGTTGGATATGCAGCCCAGGCAGTACTCTATGGTGTGGATGGCCTGATGCACAGCCACATCCCCAAAGTTAAACTGTGAAAGAGATGCAACATCTAACTGAAGCGTGAACATCTAGAAAACATCGTCTCTACGTCAGCTCCTCGGGTCCAAATAGGAGTCCAGTTCATTGTGTTTATAGAATCATTCAGGTAATTGATAGCAAAGACATTTGTTACAGCAGACCCCCTTAAATTAGAAGCGTCTCAGGACCCTGTGAACCCAATAATATCAGCTGCCCCGCTGATCCCTCATGCACATCACCGGAACTGTAAGCAAACACGGGCCTAATGGCTCCGACCGCTTGAGGAATCCCTGCAGCCCATGTTCAACAAGAGACTATTGGAACACATGGACCTAACACCCACACACACCCACACATCACAGCTAAGAGCAGCAGGCAGTGGTTGACAGCAGACTACAAAGCGAAGGGATAAAAGAGACAGAACTGCTAGACATGCACTTTGACAGGGAGGGGATAGTTTGCAGAGTGAGGGGGGGGGGGTGCAGTGTGAGCTCCTATCCCTACCTCTTCCTCCTGGCAGGCCTTGACAGCAGGTGACAAAAGGCAACGCTTTGTTATTGACAGCACACACACAGATCGACAGACATCAGTACAAAAAAAGAAGAAGAGTGATGAGAGAATGAGTAACACACGTAAAAAGGAAGGAGGGAGAATATTACAGGATGAACAATCTGCTCACATGTGCAGACAGAACATTTGAGGGATACATGGGGGGATGTATCCTGTTGTTTTTCTTAAGAAAGTCTATTTAAAACAACTCATAAATTAACTGTTTCCTGGTTGAGTTAAATCTCTTCAGGATGTACAACAATTCCCCCCCTGGTCTGTTTTTGACAAGTGAAGGTATACAATCTACCATCCACCACACACTAAAGTGGCTGTAATAAGAAATACAGTACGACAAAGTACCTTTTTTCTTGAATCTTTGTATCTTATTTGCGATGATCTGAAGGTGGCAGTCTGGAGTTTGTTAAACCAGTTCATTAAAGCGGACCTTCATCCATAATTCATGTGTTTTCTTGCCACAGTGGAAGTGGAAAGATGGGGTATCGGGTTCTGTTTCCAAACTGTGGCTGGATATCTAAATTATTCAAAGATGTGAGTGGATCCTATAACCTGTGGCACCCCCACCCCCACCGGCCTGCTGTTTCTCCTGCTTAGTGAGCAAGAGGGAGGAAACGCAGCCAGTGTAGAGGACAGTGTTGCTGAAGAGGACACGCCTCTTTTTACCTCAGGCTCCTCCTCCGAGTGCTGCGAGAGCTGGTCATGCTGGATGATTTCAGCCTCATCCTCAGTGGGCCCGTTGCCCACCCGGATGCCTCCAAAATTCTGTGTACCCTGAATTGAAAGACAGGTAAAATTTAAAAAATGTAAAAAGGGATTATACATACATTCATATTGCAGCCTACTTGCCATACATCACAGGATATATTTTTCAAGCTACTGAACAATATATTTTTTAATGTTTATAGTGTACTATGTTTCTATGTTTAATATATTGGAGTATTCTAATTTATTCTGTATATTTTAGAGTGCTTAGATACTCCTCTGAATATATGTATTTTTTACTGAGAATGTGAATGCGTACATTCTACTTTCTTTCTTACTAAATGATAACAAAACATAAAACTAGAGCAGTTCATAAGCTAAACAAAACGTTACAAAAACGGTATAAATATATAATTCATAGTTATTCAGTTCATTTGAGTTAACTTAAAAGAATATTTAATTGGCTGACCAAACCATAATTAATCACCATAAAATAAATGGCTCTTACAATAATGTATTTTTAATTTTACATTTTAAATGTTTATTTTGCACTTTACTTGTATTTTATTATATTTTTAAGAAATGTTGTAATTCTTGTAGATTGACTATCAAAATGTCACAAAACCAATTCTCAACTTGGGATAAATAAAGTATATATATATTATAATATATTATAAATGTACAAGGTATTATTTAAATTGACATTTGATTTATCTTACCAGGTTCTTCCGCCACAAATACTGTCTCCGCAGAACGAGAGTTTTTATTATTAACATACAGGGAACACAAGCCAATGCGATCACCACCAGGAGGGATTGGATAGCCATCTAAATGAAGAAGATAGAAATATAAAAAGGACATTAAGCTTACTGTAGTTGATTATAGGACAAAAGGATGCATGTCTGTCATGTGTCTGACCTGTCCTCTGTAGAGGGGCTGGTTACTGGGGTCGTTGTAGTTGAACAGGAACATGTTAATAAAGGCGATGAGGAGACTGGGAGCGTCTTTGGAGGTGCTGGCATCGTACAAGACCCATTTATAGAAGATCATAATGACTAGATAGCCGAACAGACTGGCCATGAAGACGATCTCCGGGATGAATCCCAGGTAGATATTCAGCGGCTTCTTGAAATACCTGCAGAGAGACACAGATAATCACAATGTGTGCAAAATGACAACGAGCAATAAATAAAACAAGAAATGAAAGCAGTGGATGGAAAGCTCACAGGTGGTTGAAAAGACTGAGTGAGATTCCGAACAGCATGTGGACGACTCCCAGGATCACAGACATCTTCATCTTAAACGAGTTCAGGAAGGTCAGCTTGTTCGTGGCAATGTTCCATATCTGAGAGAATTTTTTTTTTTAAAAACTGTTCAACATTGGATTTTCAATATGTTTTTATTGTTGGCTTTCTCCATTCACACATCTTTAATTATAAGCACTTTATGGAAATCCATGTATTGTTTGATTCAGCAACTAGCCGTTCATTGAAGATGTATTTGAAAGGATATATATAAAAGACATTGGCAACTAAAATAGTTTGTAAAAAGTATTCACCGGATCAATGCCAAGAGGGTACGGCCCTTTGAACACTCCATCTACTATCGGGTCTAACTGCAAAACTTTATTGCCTTCCAGTGTTTCAAACCTGATCGGGAGGAGAACACACATCAGTTTTATGATTTTAAACACTGTATGACTCCAACAGCGACTGGGCTACGCTCCAGTCTGCGTTTGATGATGACACTTACGACCAGTTGCCCCCTCGCTTAGCGTCGAACATGGGCCTGACGCTCCAGCCTGAGCCGAACACGTTGAGGGACTTCGAGAAGCAGTCGTTGTAAATGATCCCAGTGTAGATGGAGAAGATTCCCATCAGCAGGATGATGTAGCGCCCTGCAAACACCATGCTGAACATCTGCCAGAGAAAAATCAATCATGGATAAGTGATTTCTAAAATTAGAAGAGCTGCATCTCTACATTAAAGGTCACCTATTATGCAAAATCCACTTTCTCATAATCTTTTATACATCAACATGTGTCCCCTCTGCGCTAAGAGATTCTGAAAGTGTCAGGAAAAAAGATTCTCTCACTTTTTGTCCTGACCCATTTATATAAAAACCTGTCTGAAAATGAGCCAATCAGATTTTGGCCACTTTGTGATATAAATGGGTCAGGACAAAAAGTGAGAGAATCTTTTTTCCTGACACTTTCNAAAAAAGTCCATCATCTGTCATCACCTTTCAAATAAAAAAATATAATTAAACATTACAGATGTCTCTGCAATGTGGTCTCTTGTCTTCCTTGTATTATTTTTCATGTCCACTAGATGGCGATCCGTAGGATTAAAGCACTAATTTTCAGGATCTAGTCATCTTGAAAAATCGTAATCTGGATCAGGCTGATCCTATCCTGAATTGCTTTGAACTCCAGGGACAAAATCTGGCCGATTTGTCTGATCCTGGATTACAAAAAATGGGATTTCAAAATCGGATCGGATCTGATTGAGATTAAAAGTTTGGAACTCCTGGGCCCAGAGGATTTAAAACATATATATCCCAATGCCACAAAAATGCATCAGTGACGTCGTTGAAATCTTGTCAAAACAAAAAACTGAAACAAGCGCTATCAGTGACTGTGTGTTTGATGTGGCTCTTTGTAGCAACATAGAAGAAATGTGGTTCTTAACCTCTGACTGGTTGGCCACCCCTGCCATAGAGGGTTACGAGGATTCAATTTAAATATGAAAACTCCACCTTGACACAGCGTGCTATCGCACAATATATCCAGATATTCATCGCTAAGCAGCAGTGACGCCTGCTGCAGTCTCTGATGTCTCTGAGGCAGGTAGTTTTACACAGAGGAGCTTTTGATTTCATTATTCCAGTGCTTGGCTGAGAAAGATAAGGATTTGTCAAGGCTTTTCTGAGAAAACTTTTAGGCAAGAATTGTGTATTGCAGAGATGAGTGCAGAATGTAATTATCCCGAACATCACAGATTTCCAAAACTCCTTTGACTGATTGAGTAACTAGCTGCCTTAACACTCATAAAAAATATGAAATAAAGGATAAATTGCTGTGATCATTATCTCTAATTATTCGCACCGTGCCAGTAATGTGAGAATCTTTTTTTTCCCCCAACTCATTTATGCCTACCTTAATTATGATAGTCATAATGTTTAAAACTCACACTGCTGTATAACTTCATTGCTTATTACATTTTCTGCTCTTTAAGGATTCAAACAAGATATTTCTTTCAGCTGTTTTCACACATCACCTATCTGCTATCATCTTTCCCAGTGTGTATACTGTAAGGTGAACAACATCTCCATAGCATCAGGAATCAGAGCAGCGGTATGGACAAGCGTCTGGAGCATGATAGTCAGCTACAGTACCATCTAAGGTATCCATAATTAGGAATATTAAAAAGTACTACCCAAAGTAAATGGTGGGATTACAAATTAATTTGCCTTCTTAACAAGCATTAGATAAGAATGTAGATGCACAGTAAATATGAAGCTTCCCCCAGCACCAGGATAGTTTAACAAAAATAAATGAGGTTGCCGTGCAAACAGTGGACTCCAGCAAATCACTGCAACTGGTCAAGAAATAGTCACACATTGCAAAACCCCCATTGTTGTTTTGCAAAATGATTGTAAAAAAATACTTTTTGTACTTATTTCGTGCGCAAGAGGTCCGTACATTTCATAGGTCTTTGTTCCAAGCTTAAATTCATATTGTGAACGTTTTCATTCTTTCAATTTTGACCTTGGTTGTCGATGCTCTTTTAAACTGCAACCAATGAGGTAACAGCCGTATGCAATTTAACCACTCTTTGATAACTTCCCCTAGTTTTTCTAAAAGCTGTCCTCTGTGCCCTAAATCAGGGTAAGCCAATCGTATCCCAAGAAGGCAGCTTGCATCTTAATATAAGTAAATGTTGTTATGTTAATCCAGAAGTAAAAATACAGGGAGTTGTCTTATTAAGGTCAATAAATTGTTATTTTCTAAAGTTTTATTTCCTGCTGGTCATTATTTTCCCATGATACCACATTACCTGCACACCTGCTCATTATCTTCCATAGTTTACCTGTCCTGCAGCAGTGCTCTGACATATTTCCTATACTGCCTTCCTGACAAAATGTGCCATTCTTTCTGTTACTTGATTGCCACTGCCTATTTATAAACTTTTTCCTGCTAACTTGTTTCCTCTTGGACGTGGCTCTTGTGTCCTTGTTGTTATTGTTGACCCAATTTCTTTATTTAAATTTTACTTGTTCTGCCTGTGATTGTGAGCTTTTGAGGCCATATCTAAGCTGATGCTCTGTCTGTGACTGTACTGCTGCTGCTGCGTTTTCAATGACATCTGCCTTAAACAAAGCGAAGTGCAATAGAATGTCTTGAAATAATACTTCAAAATGTCTTTCTAAGCACTTCCAATGAATTTAAAGTTACCAGCCCGTGTCATTGTTCGAGTAAGCCTCCCGAACAGGAAACTAGGGGGATGCTGTGCTTCTGCCACTGTAAATTCAGCACCGGGGATTTGTCTGCTCGCTGCCTGAACTCTAGTTGACCCCGACACACTTCTCAGACTTTGTGCCGCATAAATTCTCTCTAAGCAATGCTGTCAATCAAAATAGCAGCGAGTGTAGTAAAACATCACAGGTCTCTTTCATGATTAATTCATGTCTAACACAGCACCTGTGGTGGCTCTGCTGACAATTTCACCGTTCCGTGATCTTTGAAATCGCTTATGTGTGTGTGCGCCTGTATGTGTGTGTGTGCCTACATGAGTGTGGTTCAGTGTGTGTGTATGTTATGTGTGAGTTCAGGGTGTGAGGTTCATGCATAGTTAATGCCCCAGCAAACCCTCGTTAGCTATAGTGGTAACACACACTTTCCCCATCATTATACACTGTCTGTGCCATTATAAAACTGTCTCTGTCATTATACTGACTCTCTGCCATTACCGCTGCACAGACGGCTTCTTTTGCTAAGGAGCAACCATAGGGGAATGAGGGGGGAAGCCGCGAGGGGGGAGGAGAAGAGAGACGGCAGGGGGGAGGTAAGAGATGGGAGGAAAGTGTGAAATATTGGAAAGAAATGGCTGATGTTGTATAGCTAGACATGGGAACCGCTCTCTGCTGACCCATATGGGGGTGTGATTTATTTTTATTTGTTAAAATGTGTGTCTGGTATTCAGTCCTAAAGGGCAACTCACCACTGATTACCCCTTCATTAACGGGACAGCTAACAAGAAAGCAAAACTTCAGATACAGTACAGTTTAATGAGGTCGAAAGCAGGTAAAAAATGCTGGAGTGGAGCTGGGTGTCTTCAAATGCAGTCCACGAGGGAAAATAGGACAAAACAGCTCCAAATATTTCATTAAAGGTCCCCTATTATACTCTTTTTCATCAATATATTATAGGTCTCAGATATATACAAAACATGTCTCTGAAGTGTTTGGCTCCAAACACCAAACAGATCATTTTAGCATCCCATAATCCCCTCTTTTTCAGTCATGTTTCAAAAGTGCTGATTCTCTGTCTGTTACTTTAGATGAAAATAAGGGGCCACTCCCGACGCCCCTCTGAGAGATATTTGGTTACAATAGCCGTGTTCACACTGGAGTACTTTTCCCACTTTAGTTCCGATATAGTTCCGAAATGTCGCGTTCACACCAAAAAGAGCCGGAACTAAAATGTGTTCATGAGAACCTTTTTACCCCCTTTTCCGTCCCTGCTAGAGANTGATATGCGAATTCCTTTTTGCATAATTTGCAAACAACCGTGCTCTTATTGAAGCTTCCATCCGTCCGTTTTTTAAAACAAAATGTCCCATTTACGGGGCCAACCAAAGCGGTCTCATCAGCTTCTTCGTTCACGTTTGACTATTGTTCACTGTGGTTTGTTGTTGTCTGAAGTAATGAACGTTAGTTGGTGCTCCAGTATAATCGGTACCCCTGAAACTCATCCAGTGAGAAACGTTCCGCGGTGCAAAAATAAGTGCGATTAAAATGCGTTAATTTTTTTAACGCGTTAATTTTTGTGTAATTAATTAATCTTAATTAACGCGTTAAAGTCCCGGCCCTAAAAGATTTACTTAACACTCAAAAAAACAATATTTTCATCAAACCAATATATTAACAAGGAGGAAAATGTGTATTTTTGATTTGGGGGTAAACTGTACTTTAAAACATACATGATAACACTGATGGTCCAGATGATGACAGAAGCCAGAGGGATGTTCAGACAAAGGTGTGACGCATACCTGGGTTAATCTCACGGTAGCTGCCAATCCCATAAGCATCCACTATGTTTTGAAAGCCGGAGGTGAACTTGTTTGTCTTGTTAAAGGTGGGTGGGGTCTGCTTGGTCTGCATTCGATTCAGGATGGAAGGCACAGTGGAGCCGCTCTTCTCCTAAAAAGCAGAACAAACACAAGTCATGCAGCACAGGATTGAGTTTTCTTCCATAGACCGGAACTACATACACCCTGGAGATAAGATTACAAGCCTTCTAGTCTTTCCTAGAATGGGATCATGTGCAGAGAATGACAAAAGCAAACTAAACAAGAGGAAATATGCTGCTATCTCAAATTACACTAACTGCATAAAAAAGTATTTTAAGGAACTAATAAAAGATGATGCAAATTATTATTTGCTACAGGCGAGATCTTGATAAACTACACTATGGCCTCATGTTTCCCAACAAGTACAATAGAGACAGCTGAGAACTTTGAATACAAACAGTTCAGTGCAAAGTCTCTGCCGCTACACCCAACGTACAAAAAAAAAAAGTTTCTATATTCTACGCTATTTTCTTAATTCGGCCGGCTAATGAAGCCCAGCCTACAGAGGCCCTTTCTTTCCAACTCCACACCCCCAGATTATTTTCATTTTAGCACTACTAGTCATGCATGACTGTAGATAAGGCCAGAGCATTAACTGTCTCTGAAAGTCAGCTCCTTTGGGCCCTCTCACTCATCACTTGCACTCAGGCAGCCGATAAGGAAGTGCACACAGCAGCTGTTAACGGTTCCACAAACAAAGATGCCTGGTCACCATGAGGGGGAAACTGTTGAAGCCAGCACAGTTTTGGTTTATTTAAAAATGTTAACTGTTTTGAGGAACTTGTAAGTAGTGCATAGAGTAGTCTTACATGACTTGTAAGTTCCTCTTCTTCGGATTATGCAAATAAATAAGAACACCACACTGTCACAGTGAATATACTGCTGGCTGAGTACCGTATAAACAAAAGATGGAATGAACATCCTGTTTGCACTGACGTAGCTTGGACACGTGTTTTTTCCAACTGGTTCTGCTACATTCCATACATGAACCCTGTTCACTCTGACAAACATCAAGTTTGAGTTGGGCTAAACCAAGTAAATAGTGAATATTTTACTAAATCAGTTACTCACCGTCCCCCTGCGCAGGGCGAACTGGATGGAGTCCATGTCGGAGACGGGACACCACACCTCAGCGATCAGACACTTCTGAGTGACATCGATGTTGCAGAGGTTGAGGGTGTGGTAGACGGCCTTCATCTTCTTCACCTTGATGAACCACACTCTGACCGTCTTGGCTGCAGCCTGCAGGACCCTCTGCCTGTGATCCTCCGTCTGGTTCAGCACCTTTATAGAGACACAAACAGTAAAGTCAGTCGTTGTTTAAAAAAACCTAATTTTAGACATTTAATTTATGTTTGTCTGATGTTGTCCATCTGTAAATCGTAAATAATGTTAATATCCTAGAGCAAAAAAAGGTCAAGACAAATGTCCATCGTGATACCCAAAAAACACTTACTCGTGCCATTTTAGTTAAACCTGTGCTTTTCTATCAACTACAAGCCGATCTGTGGGAGAGTAGCTCGTTCTTCTCTAAAATTAAAAACCTCCTCATTTCAATACCCAGAGCACAAATATATACTCAAATACTTGTATCATCTTTAAATCTGTCTAAATGTGAAAATATAATGTCCACTGCAATCAGAAAAGGCATCCAAAAATAGCAGCAATGAATCATGCATTTGATATGTACACAGGGTTTACATGTAATCCCTCATCATTGAGTCATACGTTTAAGAGCAACAAGCTGTGTGCTCCATTAGGTTTTCCCGAAAGAGATATAGGATATTCCCAGGTATGCTGCTGTATGACTCACATTTAAAGCTGAGTCCTATGATCAGCAAATAGCTGGATACTTAAGCTGTGTGCTGTCTGGCTACAGGCGCAGTCCTGCATGCTGTTGAGGGGCTTAATGGCCCACACATAAGCTGATTGCTGTGCAACATTTTTGACATTCTTCTATATTTGTGCCAGTCAGTCATTCTGCCTTCATGCCTACATAGCGACCAACATAACACTGCATCCACAAACGCTAAGGATCAGTAGTGTGCAAAGCCGTGAGAGAATATCAATTGATATGTTAATACACCAAATATCACGTAATTGTCTCGAGCAAATTTCTGATTCCACAAATTCTTAGCACCAGACACAGACGGAGTAAATAACATGTGTAGTACCATGTGGGAGATTCACCTTTAAAAAAGGGGCGTTAAAATGCTTTTGGGGGTTTTCCATTTCCTGTGTTATGTTTTATTGTTTTTTGTTCATGTAAATAGTCTGCAAAGACTTAAATCCCAATAAGGAAAGCTCCTCCAGAGGGAGTTTCTCTCCCGCACACTCCCCGCCCTGCCTGAAACGCCTCCATTTGACTCTTTAGTTTACTTCCGTAACATAATGACATTACTATGTAACACTCATGCTTCTATTGGCTTGCGCTCCAACCCATTGTAAGTATTAGGCTATGGGGTGGGACATCTCTAAGCGGTTGACCAATCACAACAGAGCCGGCAGCTAACCAATCAGAGCAGACTGGGCTCTGGTTTCAGACAGAGGGTGAAAAGGGGTGCTGCAGCACAGGCAGTATGAGAAAAATAAAGAGCTTTTTGAACATTAAAGCATGGAGACATGTCACAGTGGAGGCACATAGAAATCTGAAAATGAGCATAATAGAGCCCCTTTAAACGTGTCCAGCCCGGGCTGAGGCGGGCACAACAAATGTGTCAGTTTTATTTTTAAGTGTATGACATGATGTGAAACACCCATATTGACAAATGTAACATCACATAGGAAAGACATAAGAAAGCAAAAGCTAATTAAAGAGGGATTCCCCAGGGCTTTACCCTGTGCAACATAACAAGTCACTGAGGACTAAACCATCACTGCAGGCACAACAACAACAACAACACTGAAATGGAAAGACTATTCCTGCTGGAGGAGAATTCTATTGCGGGGAGCTAGAAAGTTGCTGATCAGCAATGGTTAATGTTTATTGCTATAAATCAATAACTATAATAATAGCCCAAACTGACCGTGCAGGACGGCACATATCGGGATGTTAACAAGAGGTCATATGATAGCCAGGCTGTTACTGTTGGTTACTAAAAAAACAGGAAGGAAGCAGACTAACACCTTGCTATTTGCAAATTGACAATACATTGTATTCCACACACTCAAACGTGATTGATGTGCATGGACATACTCCATTTATGTCATCTATGGGGTGACATTCGTGCAATATAAATAAAGGAAGTTTCTCATAAAAACCTCAGGTTTACAGACTGAACAAGAAGCAGACAAATTAACTGTAAAAAGCAGATGTGTCACATGCCTTACCACAGTTCCCTTACACTCGCTTTTTCTGAAAAAAGGTCTTGCTTACTTGGCGGAAGTACAAAACAAAAAGAGAATTAACCAGTTTAAGTGTGTCTCTCAGATAGGTTTAGTGAGTCAACATTGTATAACCGTTTTCCCTTTCAGTTTATTTACCATTTGCAGGTCATCGATGCGTGCATTCACTCCTGCCAGCATCTCTTTCCTCTCCTGGGGTGTTTCTGGGCAAGGGTACAAGGTTGCTCTGAACCTGAAGATGTAGAAAAAGAAGCTCAGATATGAAACTGCTGGCCCAGAACACTTCCTTAAATGTGTTGGTCGGTCACTTACCCCTCACAGATCTTCTTGACTCTGATCTTAAGCTGGTCTCCCTGGAAGAAGATGATGAAGACAGTCTTGTGGACCTGATCGCCCTGTGGAAAAAACTTTCAGTTAGGACTCTGGTGATAAAATACTGAAACAGGCGTTAACATCTGACCAGGTTCAGAGGACGTTAGTGGTTGAACAGCACTTACCGTAGACGGGTCCTCCAGAGGATCTTCAATTTCTGCCTGCCTCAGGAACACGTTTCCTCGGCAGACTCTCCACAGCATCCTCTCAAATGTGGGAAGACGTTCCCGGCCAATGACTCCAGCCACAAATCTACAACAGATGGAAAAGTGCTGTCAGTGATGATAGGAGTTATTATTGATATGAATCATTATTGCACTTCTATAGCTTATATAAAGATAATTGTTTTATTTTTTAAAGCCTGGTTCATAATTTCTGTTTGAAGAGCTCAAATAGGCCTCATGTGAACCCTAAACAGAATATCAAATGTAAAATTAACAATCTCTGCTACTATCCAGTGAAACAAAACACTTGAAAATATTTCTATATAGGGAGATAGAGTTTCCACACAATATAAAAATATATGTTCTGTAAACATTGACGGTAATTCCTACTATATATTTGTGATTGTGGATTTGTGGGTAGACCTCCACTTTACGTGTTTTCTTACTAGTCTGGGCAGACTGAGCTGGTGTGGGCGAGGGGATTGGCTAGATCACACTCTGGTTTCAGACACAGATGGAAGAGAAGCTTAATCTATTTGAATGAGGGAAGACCAAAACCCAGACTCACCCCAGTCTGAGAGGAGCCCTTTGGATTGTCTCATTGGGGTCCAGCAGGGTGGATGCCTCCTCCAGTAAACTGGGATCCTCCATCTGCATGAGAGTCAGTTCATTATTTGACATTAATAATCGTTATACATGGGCTAAACTGTATATTTGTTTGGATTATTTTGACTGATATTGTAATATGATTACAAATATTGTATGTCGTTTTTTTTTTTTGCATCATTATTTGTATTTAATTGAATAATTGTATTCAAATATTCCTTGGGTCATTTTGCAAGGATGTGCACTAAACAAAGGTTTTTTCAAAAGTAGAATTGGCTATATTGCTAATTTAAACATCTTATTAATTGTTGAATACATACTTGTGAAAACTGCGGATGGAAAACTGGATTTTACTAACATGAATGTAGAGATTGGGAAAGAAGGACGAAGGAGGAGTCAGGGCCAGTGTTTGTTTTCAGCCTGGACAGTGACTTTTGTCCAGTTAATGCCTAAACAGCAGCTTGTTGAGATCAATGATTCATCTCAATTACAGTCTGTAACAACTTGCAAAAGATGACTTAGCATTGTGAGTCAACAGAGTTTTGCTTGTGAATGCAGTGAACTGGAATGGATGTAGGGCAAAGGAGGGCAGGAAAAGCACAGCGAATGAACAGTAAACATGAAGTCTGTGCCAAGTACTGTCCAAAGGTTACTACAGAATTTGCCTGTTTAGAAATGAGGCTTTTTATTGCCACTCAGAATATTCAATATACATTTTACCAACAGTTTTTTTCTGCTATCCGGACCTGGTGACATTAATGAGGAGTTAAATGGTAAATAATTAAATATAATATTTAAACATTAAATACAATATTTAAACATTACAAATCATTTTTTGAATATATATGAAACAATCAGAAAATATAATAATTATTATATTTCCCATAACTTCGCAGTTTTTAGACTATGATAGATTTTAAAACCAATAAAGATCTTATTTTTGGATTTTTTTAAGTCACAGTTCTTTCCAGCAGTGGATTTACAGAAACATTAACTCATGTGACTGGCTGGTGTGAATGGGCAAAGACCATGTAAGCAACTTTGGTGTATCAAAAGTGAGACACCAAAGCCAGACTAAACGGAAACAAAAAATCAGTTTATCCATTTTCACAGTGAGTATATTAAATAAATAATGTTTCAAAACATTTGAAAAAAAAGTTCATATTTTCCTACGATGTGTTAAAAGGTCTTAGATGTTATAACCACGGCAAAAAAGTATTACAGAAGTTCCACTTCTTTTTAAGGCAACACAATGTTAGTAAAACAAAAGACCTGAGAGCATCGTTTTGTACGGCAAGGGAAGGGAAGCTGACCTCATCAAAAAACTGCTGGGTGCGACGCAGGATGTGCTTGAGCTCAGTCAGTTCCAGGAAGTTCTTCTTCAGAGCTTCTTGGTTGGTGTTTATTTCCTTCAGCTCATTCTCAAGCTTCTCAAATGTGGCCTGTGGTGAGACATACAGTACAGAGAGGTCAGCAGAGGGTCGAGTAGAAGAATAGAGATCACTGTTAATCTTTAGGAGAGAGAGCAGGCACCTCCATGTCGATCATGTCCCTTGGGAACGGGACTTCAGGGTTCTCTCCTGTGTCAAGTATGGGGATGTTGGCCTTCTTTATTTCTTTCTCCACAAATCCTGCAAACGAAAAGTGAACAGGTAAAAAAGCAGCGTACAGTTGTTTACGCTGTGAAGGAAGTGCCCAGCTTCCTATTGTATGGCCTGTTATGGCTCTTTAAAATAATGAAATCAAATAAAAGTATGTTGTTATGGTTCATGAGTGCAAGAATAGTATTTTTCAGATTTTAAATTGTAAAGTCCTTGTAATGTTTAGCTCTGGCAAGATATAACCAAAGCTCACTTACTCAGTTTGCGATCCATCTCCTCACATCGTCGTACTTCATTAACAAATTTCCGTTGGAAAACGTTCACATCGGGATTTAGCTGCATGATAAAAATGAAGGGGAACATGAGAGTGTGAAGCAACAGAAGATAGATTATAACGACATTACCTTTTTGTTGAAAAAAACAAATGATGCATCAGTAACATGTGTAAAAGTGGAATTAATTCAAAAACAAGAACCTCCACTTACAATAGCATCATTAGCTGCTTCAATGTCAATGATTTAAGGATGTGCTCAGATGATGCATAGCTATACATTGACAAACCTACCATTACAATGGGATATTTTTTAGAGTCTATCAATAAGTTCTAGTAAAACAAAGATACTACTGTTTACACACGGGCCTACTCTATCACAGCCCATCTTATATTCTAGCACACAGCTTCAGGGATTCTCAGGAATGGGCTTTCTCATGTGTGGAATGAGGGGTGAGCTGTGAGCACATGATTAACATGATGCTGAAGGCATGCACTTTCTCAGCATTGTCACTGAGGTGGTATCAACAGGTACCAGTATTTGCAAGGTGGTTGGTAGAAAGTGGCAATCAAAAGCAAAATCTGTTGATAATAAAGAAGTCATGATTCAGAGGACAGTATAATAGTGCACTTACATCACGAAACTGCACCATCCCGATCTCTCCCAGTTCGCTGACACAACAGTAGGCCGCTTCTGACTGGAGGAAGAGTTGAGCCAGCGTCATGTCTTCACTTCTAAAGAGTTCCCCCATGTTGCTGCAGGATGTGAGTGCTCAGCACCCCTAAAACCAACCAGAACCTCTAGAAACAGAACATTAATATTGATAATTAGTCACACATTCAAGAAAGAAAAACAAAACATGAAGGATCTAAGTGGTTCTCCATTCAACATATATCTCTACATAGCACATTAGTGTCAAGATCACTGATGAGGGAGGCCTTTATCAGATGTGTGTTAGTTTAGCAGGCATGTGACAAAAAAGAGAAAATAAAAAAGTATATCAGCTTCTCCTCATGCTGGTCTCATGATCACAGCAGGAATGTTGTTACACTTAAAATCGGTGTTCTCTGAACCATGGCAATACAGAAGCTTTGTAATATAAAATTGTGGATGCAAACCAAAGATAAACAGAAAACGTGGTTAGAAAGCAGCCTATGTAATATTTGACAATAAATATGAATATGTTCTCAGCATAATTTAGTTTAGCAGCATATCCTCCCACTGTTAACCGACCACACAGGGTTTATCTGTGGATTACAGGGTAGCATGTGACCAGTAGCTCTAGTAAGCCTCCCCACTTCCACTGCCTCCACGCAAAGGGCTCATTAACCGATTTAACACATCAAAACAAGTTCACATAACACCATAACACTTTACAAATCTTAAAACAGTTAAGTGACTTCGTATTTAGCTTTTTGAACTACATATCAAGCAGTATTGTAACTATTTTAGCACCGACGAGTCGACGACTGAACCTTTCACCTGTCAAAGATGATGTCAAATGGATAGCATTATGGCTAACTAAATTGACATGTCACTGTTACACCAATTTACCGAAACTAGTAAACTCACATAATCTAATAACGTAGAAAAGCAATGATTACATAAAGGTAACACATTCAGCTTATACAGTTTTAAATGTTAGCAAAACTAAATCAGCAGTCGGAAGCTAGTCAGATTAGCAACCCCTTAGTTAAAGTGTAAGAGGATAATCGTAAAACTAAATATTAACTTGGTTGAGGCTCATATGTATTTTATCCACAACATCAGGTTGTTAGTTAGCTCATTTAACAATAAACAGTCAAGTAAATCATGATCAGTTTGCATTTTAAGTGGTGCGGGTGCTAGCAGGAGAGCTAACGCTAACTTAGCGCACCTGTTGCTCAATACTTTACTGAAATAATAAGATTAACGCTAGATTGGTTTATATAATTTACACTCTCAATTACCGTTTTATTAAGCAACAGTGTACCTGCTGTTCAGGCGGAGATGTCCCTCTACTCCTTGGTCTCCTTCCTGATTTCCTCTCTGCTGTTTATTTGTGGGCTGGTCGGTGGTTCGTCGGTGGTTCGCAGCTGACAGCTCTTCTTCCTCTTCTTCTGGGTTTATGGCGGTTCACGTCCTGAACGCTGCTATACTGCCTCCTCCTGGGTATGGTCCTCCTCAATGCCCAGTTAAAGTCGTGTAATTAGTCAAAAACCTATGATAAAACGAATAGTAAGTGATGGGATGTAGCTGAATACATTACTAAAGGTAGTCAGCACTCTCATTATATCTGCACTTTATTTTAGATGATTTTAGTTGATACTTCTTTAAACTTCTACATCACTACAATTCAGTAGGAAATATTGCTCTTTTAAGGCTACTTACATTTATTTGACACATACTAGTTATTTGTATATTTTTAAAGCATATAATATAATTCAGTATTATACTTCAGTAATCTATAATTGGTAGCCTAAAAGATCAAACAAAGTATCCAAAATTCGTTTTTCAAGCTCCACATTTGGATTTAAATAATAAATCATAGGCTTTTTATGTGTGATAAACACAGAACATTTGTATATTCTATAATAATGCAGCAATTTGAAGCCACTCTGTATAAAACGTATGTAGGACACTTAATAGTGGAGTAATTATAAACCATGGTAGGCCTACTTTTACTTTTAATGAGTTACTACTTTTTCTGATATGTTCCTTTTGCCTGTTTCATTATCATCCCTAAGCCTTAGATTGTTTGTATTCCATCATACACTTGTAAGAGTGTTCGTCTTTATAAGTTTCAGTGCCTTTTTTTCTATTTTCCATTGCTTCACTTGCCACCATTCATTTGTTCTCCTCTTAATTGTGCCTTTACTTTCAGCAATAGATTATGATGCAGATGTCTTATTTTATCATAAAATGCTTCTTTCCCCATATTATAATCATCCGACTTAGATATGTATCACTTTCTGTATGAACATTCTCTTAATGAACACATTTAAATGCGTATTTCATGCCCTTGATTGCAACTAGTGTTTTGTTGTTCCACTGTATGACCACTAGAGGGCAGTGAACTGTCAAATCAACATGGGTTTATGGATGATATTCTAGATTTCTTACAAACACTTACCAATACAATTTAGTCCACCTGACTACTAAGTCATTATTTTTAACATATTAATTTTTTCAAAAAGATGCTACCCCTTTTGTTGGATTCTATTGGTCTAGATTCCTTGATAACAAGAATTGTATGGAGCTATTTCAGGGTCATAAGTTTTGATCAATTTATTTGAAAGTTCAAGTTTCTATCCTGAACTTTGAAAAATACAATGATGTATTCAAAATAAAAAAAAGTATTTGAAATAATTTTTCAGGTTGAATATGATTTTTGATTCAGTTCAGCAATTTTTTTGAATAATATATTTATTTTCAGATTTCACTTTTATACATATTTTGATATTTGAATCCTTATTTTTTTCAGCACATATTTTTCGTTTTCAGATTCAAAACAATTATTTTTTCAGTTTCAAATCTTGTTTTTTCAGGTTTCACATTGCTTTTCACCTTCAGATCGTTTTTCACTTTCAGATCGTTTTTTTTCGCTTTCAGATCTTTTTTTTTCGCTTTCAAAGTTTTGGCCCTGATATTGCTTGGGGGGGCGGGGCTTACCAAAGAGTAGTTTGGCATCCTGAGTGACAGGCCTCCCTCTGTCATGTTGCCTTCATGGATGTTAGAAAACTGAGACCAGCGTCAAAGTTCCGTTAAGCGAGCTGTTGAGCATCGTAGTTGGCAACAATCAAGTACAAATAAACTGTGTTAGAATGTGAAATTACGTATCCGCAACGAGCCAGCAGGTTGTTCTGGTGGACCTGACGCCATCCCCCGCTGTCTCACGGAGAGATACCGCAGGTCCTTCCTTCCTGCAGCGGTCAGACTATACAACCAGCACAGCCCCTAGTAGACCCCGCACAAAACAACACAGACTATAACACCTCTTGTTGATAAATACCAACTATGTGCAATATTTGCAGTATGTGCAATATATATATGCCATTAAAAACTGTGCAATATATACCTGGCTGCTAAATCCGCAGAACTGTCACAGGGTGTGTATTATGTAAAATGTGTAACTTTAAAAATATATATAATTTCTTTTTTTAATCTTTAATACTTTTTGTATGCATGCTTTAGGTAACATTAAACTGTATTCGGCTCTTGTCTGCTGTAACAATGTAAATGTATCCCCTGTGGGACTAATAAAGGTATTCTGATTCTGAACGCAAAAACCAAGCCAATAAATACTATGCTGCGTTAACGGAGCTACGTGGAAGTGGGGAAGGACAACGCTTGATTGCGGATACGTGATTTCAGATTCTAGCACAGTTTATTGCTCTTATACCTTGACTGTTGCCAACTATGATGCTCAACAGCTCGCTTAACGGAACTTTGATGCTGGTACCAGTTTTGTTTACCACCAATCACGGGAGTATTGTGTATAGAAAGTGTGTAGTTGTATTTCTTGCGCTACCTAACATCCATGAAGGCATCATGACAGAGGGAGGGCTGTCACTCAGAGTGCCAAACTACTCTTTGGTAAGCCCCGCCCTCCGAAGCAATATCAGGGTCAAAAGTCTGAAAGCGAAAAAAAAAGATCTGAAAGCGAAAAAAAAAGATCTGAAAGTGAAAAACGATCTGAAGGCGAAAAAAATATTGAAACCTGAAAAAAAAAAATCTGAAACTGAAAAAAACAAGTATTCAAATATCAAAATATGTATAAAAGTGAAATATGAAAATAAATATTTTATTAAAAATAATTGCTGAACTGAATCAAAATAATATTCAACCTGAACAATTATTTCAAATACTTTTTTTGTTTTGAATACAACATTGTATTTTTCAAAGTTCAGGATGAAAACTTGGACTTTCAAATAAATTGTATTTTTTTGAATGATCAAAACTTATGACCCTGAAATAGCTCCATAGAATTGGGACTAACATAATTTCAAACATAAAAGTTATCCTGTCAATAATCTTTCACAAAAAAACGTGTAATCAGCTGACACCTTTTTACAAAAAAAGAAAAAGAAAGGCGGACCAAGATGGCGGCTGTGAGCTCAAGGCTTTTTCCTCCACTTGCCTAGGTTTAAATTGAGTCATCTTACTTGACCAAAGTTTTTATGCAAAAACAGGTAAAACACGTGAGCATTCTTCTCATTAAAGCAAAAAACTAGCTTAGCATGTTTGCTAGCTAGTGGTCACTTTGTTGATATACAGGAGTCAGGACGCAGGTACAAGAAGGACCTCTGAAGATAAGTTATCACCGTTGCCCGGCCATTAAACCAAGTTCTGAAACTCCAAAGTCACAGTAGACAAAGCTTGTCAACTCGTCCCTGGTCAGTGCTATTTATTCTAAACTTCTCGACTTCACAAGGCTTTTGGGACTGCTAGCAATGACGTTTCTAGAAGGCCAAACTGGCCTCGGTACTGCAACCTGTTCAAAAGAAGCCATGTTGAAGTCCGAATAGCCGACCATGTTATGATGTTCATCAAACATTTGATCAAAAACAACCAATGTGTGCAGCCAAATAATTAGAAAAATATTAATATACTAATAATAAAACAGTTTAAATGCACATTTTGGCTCCTACAAGACTAATCAACAAGATATTAGTTATTATTGATGAATGTATGAACATGTAGATTGTAAGATATATCTCAAAACCAAGAATCAGACTTTAGAAAGTACAAGAAAAGCAAAAATCAATCCAATTAAACATTCAATCTAATATAAACAACACACTGACACGTGGAATATATCAAACACAATAGGGTAGCCTGCCCCAAACCACATGCATTTGGTAAAACAATCAGCATGGCCTTTATTGACATGACATAATCGGGTGAGCACAATAGTAGATTGTGAACTTCAAATTGTCACAATTCATTGGTCTGAACTGATAGACGGTCTACATTTGATTGGAATCTGGTAGAGAAATGCTGCCCTGTGCTTGGGGACAGATTGGGTGGAGCCCATGGCAGCTGGGGGAGCTGGGGGCGGGTGTAAGAAGGGAAAACTTCGACTGGGTGGTTTCACAGGGAGCAGAGGCATTTAAGTCAGGGCATACATGCCTCAGCTGTGAGAGGCCCAACTCCCCTTGGCTGGCTGTCATCCCAGAGCAGAGGCAGAGAGACACAGAGACTGAGGGTGAAGAGAAAATTAAAGTGTAAAGTAGACTAGAAAGAGGCAAGTGTTTGAGGAAGTTGTTTTAAAAGAAGAAGAAGAAGAAGAAGAAAGGTTTACGGACTTGAGTTGTGTGTAGCAAGGCTCCTGCAGGTCGTTTTTCAATAGTTTATTTTTAACTGTAGCCAGTGCGCAGGCGGTTTGCATTCGGAGTTTACAGCCATGGCGGATACAGGTGTCAAGAAGGCGCACGTAGAAGAGCATTACGATGACGACGACGAGGTAGCTCTGGTGACCGCCGCCACAGAGCCGGCTGTAGACGACGATGATGATGATCTTTCTGAAGACCCTTCTGAGGAGGTGGACCTGGAACTGGCCACCGGACCTGGAGGCAAGACTGAAGCACAGATGAATGGGGTCATGGTCCTGTCTCTGCTCGACAAGATTATCGGCGTAGTAGACCAGATCCAGCAGACCCAGAATGGGCTGGAGGCCCGGCAGGGGGCCATGGAGAAGTCAGTGTCAACCATCCAAGGGGAGCTGGCTAAGATGTCCAAGAATCACGTCGGCACAACCCACACTGTCAACAAAATGCTCGATAAGATACGCAAGGTCAGCGTCAACGTCAAGTCGGTGAGGAACAACCTGGAGAAGCAGGCGGGCCAGATCAAGAAGCTGGAGAGCAACGAGAGCGAGCTGCTCAAGAGACGCAACTTCAAAGTGCTCATCTACCAGGTGAATACTTCAGTGTGTGTGAGCTTGATCTCTCACTATTTCCATTGCTGGGTGGATCAATAGCAAACCATCTTTCTTGGAGAATGTTCTGGTAATGTTTTACATGTGGCTGTTAAAGTTACACTCACAGGTATGTTAAGGGGTTGTGTTGCATTCCCAATGCTGCATAGGAAAGTTGGGAGGGCAGTGTGAAATGCACCTGAAAAGCTATCAAAACATCAGAGCCACCTTTTGACATCATCTCACCAGAGAGAGTTAGAGTCACACTGTGGCTTGAATTGACCCGTGTTAGGGGAAATATCCTGTAGTTTCTCAGGACAGGCTCTTTGGTTTCCATGACATACATGTCTAAATCAGTTTTTCCTAAAACTTTAATGAGGCTGTAATGTTTTAGAACATAAACAGAAAGTGCAAGGTGTATTTATAAACTGTTATAAGGTTTGTATTCATGATCAGTGAGAGGCGACATCCACCTACTACTACTAGCTTTTCATGGAAACTCCAAGACTTCATGATTACCAAATGAAACTATATAAAGACTAGTGGTGTAAATAAAAAGGCCTATAAACACTGGCATGAAGGGCTACTTGAGACAGAACCAACGCCCCAGCCTGGAGGGCTCAGTGAGCAGATAGTTGGCAGGGCGATGCCATGTAAGATGAAGATGTAGTTTATATTATTAAGATTTCTCAGAAGTGGCACTCACTGGCAATCATGCACAAACCTGCATTTTAATACCTGAGAACCCAAAAGAGTATTGGGGCAGTGTGAAATGTTTTTTAGGGAGCACTTCTCAAACAGTTGGGACCATGAACATGTTGGAAAGAAAAATGTTAGAACATGTTAGAAAGAAAAATGGGTTAGAAATCAGATTGACGTGTGAAAGTGTGACAGCTGTTGTACATTTGAAACCAGGTGAGCAACTCCTTTCTTTTAAGCAGCACACTGCTGTCATGTCCATGTCTCTGGTAAACCTGCGGCATGGAGATGTCAAATGTCAAAGAAAATGTCCGAAGTAGTTACCTTGTGCACATTAAATCATAACTTTTACCCCCTTGGAAGCAACACTAAATCTGAGAGTTGTAGAGCTTACTACTAGCAGGCTGACCATTTCAGCTCCCCTTCCTGGGATGTCCACTATGGGAGTGGGTTACACTATTGGCATGCAGCAGAAATCCAATCATAGACACTCGTCTTTAATAAATTACTCTGCAAATCAGGTGCCCCCCTGCGGTTTGAGATACTGTCTATATGGCAAGCTCTTTTTTAACGGCATGCCAATTAGAAATTGTAGCGTACAGCACTTTGCATGAGCCAAGCTGCAGATGTGGCGAAGCTTGCATCATGTTGTAATGTTAAGGCTTTATTCTGTCATAAGCTTTGATTGTGCTTCAGCAGCCACAAATCATTCAAATTCATTTCCTGTCAGTATTATGTAAAGTGCTACTATTGACATATACACTGGTCACAGTCATGTTTGAAAGCGGAGAGCTGCTGCCTCCATGTTTTCAGCTCCCACAATCGGATCTATTTTTGACAGAAGATGGCTGCACGTGTCCCGTTTAATTAACGAACTGGTCAGGAATTGGCAGCAGTGTAAATCAACACTGGCTCTCAGTCAGTTTCAACACTTTGCTGCGTTACTGTTTGTGTGTGTTAATGCGTAAGGATGAGATCAGGGTCAGGGTTAGTTATGAGGAGGTTAAGGTAGAGGTTCCGGTAAACGTCCCTGTCAGTCAGAAAGCTAGTGCTCTGTCCTTACCAGTCAAGTAAAATCAACTCTCAGTGCGTGTGTATGTGACCATTCCTAACCAATATTGCCTTTCACTTACAGTGTCAATGTCAAGGGAGGCTATAATTGGATAAGACAAGTGAAAACATTTCAGAGCGTTACCTTTGCTGTTTAAACGTTTTACTCTGTAAGTTTAGCTTTAATTGCAGGTGTTGTTTTATTCTCTCCTGTCAATCTGTCTCTGCACTCTGAGAATAGACACATACTTCAGGATTTTTAGCCTAGAAAGACTTTGACAGCGATGCTTTATAATTAAACCTTCAATGATGGTCGCTCGCAGGATCCCCCGGCAACTGCGGGGTGTGTTGATGAAGACATGTTGACCAAATGTGCATTGCATATCAGTTGTGGTGGAACAAATATCTTAAACTAAAGTAAAAGTACTGGTCGTAAATACTCTGAGTCCTTAATTAAAAATATTCTTGAAGTTCCCAATGTAAAGGTATTCTTTATTTCGGAATATATCGGATTTTTTGATTACAATTATTTATGCATCAAGTTTATCTTCTTGCATCTACTTTGTAAACTGCCTTGTAGCTTGTATCATAATGTATAATAATTCAGTACATCAGTACCTAACTGTGTTAACAGTACTTGGTTACATTCAACCACTACATATCAGATAATTATTGTTTTAATTTGAAAAGATCTTGGTCTATCCATTTACTTTTAAGTGATTCTTAAGTTATGGTGTTACTGGGGTCAGCAAAGAACATCCTCATTAGAAACTAAATCAAATGTGTTCATTTTTATGGCTTACAATTTGAAGTGTAAGCCATAATGAGACCTGGTTTTAATGCGATACCATCACAAGTGGACAAGTCTAAGTACAGGTGTGAAGGTAGCAAAGGCGCATTGAGATCTGATCGCCACAGATGGCTGCATTTTTACAGTGTGTGCAAATGTATCCTGGGCCTGGGTGTTACTCTAAACTTGTAAAACAATATTTATATTCTGTCGTGCTTCACCGAGTGCAGGGTGCTGGCCCGCAAAAAAAAAAGGTGAATGAGTGCATGCAGTTCCCACCGGTTCTAATTTTGTAATGAAAACTGAACTCCTCATAACATGTTTATATGCATATAGACTTGTGTAGTGAGATCCACTCGATCACAAGTGGTCACTCGAGATGTATTCTGATGTCAGGTGTGAACTGACAGACGTAGAGCTACCCTCTCATGACTGGTTTACACAAGACACATGTTAATGCCATGTCTGAACAGGACCTCTGTTAGAGACACATATTTGCTTCCTCATTAGGGGGCATCTTTCTGCAGTTTTAAAATAACAAACCCCTATCTAGAAGTGACCTTGCGGCAGCTGAGGGTCTTCCTGCTGCACACAGCACCAAAGCCTGTCTGCTCTGCGGTTCGCAAGTGGTCAATGAGTCAATGCGGCCCTGCTCCAACACACACACACACACACACACACACACACACACACACACACACACACACACACACACACACACACACACACACACACACACACACACACACACACACACACACACACACACACCACGTTTTTCTGCTCTGACTGTATTGCTGTCTTTTATAGACCAATTGTCTTTCCATTTTTTAAATTAGTGTATTGCTTTATTTCCCATTACTCTCATATCACCAGTCAATTGACTATATTAGTTCAGCCTCACAAGTCTAATTTAGTGTTTTGTAACAGCTGTCTGGAAATGAACCTGATCTTACAAGACCCTAGCTGTGTTAGAGATATTAGCGTGTCTTTCTCAATTAAGTCTCATGATGGTTGTTTAATAATGATTGTAAATGTCCCTCTAGAGGTGATAGCAACTCCATATTCAATCCATAAGAATGTTTGTATTCTCTTTTCAAACAGCTAAAGTTGTAAGCCCTGCTACACATAATTAACTTCTGTCGAAAATTACAAACATTAGATTTTTATAAGTCAAAATGTTCCACCTTCTCAGCTGTCAGGGTAGAAGAAACCAGGATGCTGCCGCTGTGGTGATAAGGGAAGTCACAACACAAGAAATGTAGAAGTAGATACCAATATAAGGGAATTACACTGTTCTCAATATCAATTTGATACCATGTTAAAAAACTAAACAAACATCCCATGTACTTTAACATACACTCATTATTAACCGTTTGCATACATGTTTTGGGACCATCATCATTTTTGAATTTGTGGGGTTCAGCCTCAACAAACGTTTGCGTCCATTAAAGGATTTTTACAGCTTATTTTTACAAATGCAGTTGTATTGCAGAATACCTGTTAACTGATATTGATGTAGTAACCCCTTTAATGCCATCAATTTATGGATTTACATGCTTCGTAACAAGCAGCTAAACAACAAGGTTTCCATGTGATAAAATGTGCAGTGTGAGGCTCATTTGTGTTTGTTTGATAAGAGGACGTGTATGCTTTTTTTAGACACTGTGACTCAGCCCATGAGGATTGTGTGTTTCAAAATGCTCACTATTTAATTATGCGGATTAATCCGGTTTATGTAATGCAATAGTGTATGTCCCTTAGAGTGTCAGACAGTACTGATGTGTGTCTGGAATGAGGGTGTGTTTGGCTGCAGCTCAAAGACAGTGATAGCCATGTGATCAGCTCTATCATGGAGATGTAAGTCTTCTCAGTTACAGTCTACTTATTCCAGACCAACCCAGCGGAGATCGGATCGCAGCCAAAAAGTCTTGCCACCAGCCCCAGCCCACCTTATTTGAATATACTTTAATCTTGCCCTGACTATGTGACATCTCTGTTCCAATTTCCCATGGCAAAATAATCCAGTCAATTTTTTCTTTGGCCAATTAATTCCAAGTATTTGAGAGGAAGCAGTTATGAATCACTTAGTGAACCGCTTGCAAGCAACAGAAACCGGCCACACCAAAAAGCACTAAGTTGGTGTTGTGACTCATTCCGTTGGCATCTCTCTGCCTCTCCTGCCAAGATACCCACTTGTTCTGCTCCCTCCTTCTCAGTTTCTCTCCCACTATCAATGTAGCCCCTTCTACTCCAACTCTAGACATCTAATCCAGAACTAAGGGCACAGCTCATTCAGTATTTGCTCCAGCACTTGGTGTATTATGTTGTTCTCTTCTGTCACTCCCCTCTGTCCTTTTTCTCCTCTTCCTCAGGCTTGTGGAAAGATATCTTGCAGGCTCCACATTTCACTATCGCATGTGAGCTACCATCTCGAGCCAGTTTAGAGTTCCAGAACGTG